GGTGCAAAACTTGAGCTTCATTCCTAGCTTCCTCCACAAAGTCATCCAAAAATGACTAAGAAAGGTCGGCTATTTGTGATGCGTCGTAAGTGGTCACGCATGGGATGAAGTGGGCCATCTTGGAAAACCTATCCAGGACGATCATAATCGAATCCTTGCCCCTTTGTATCCTTGGCAGCCCGGTAATGAAATCCAAACTAATATCTTCCCAAGGGGAAAAAGGCACGAGGGACAATTTCCTAGAAATAGACAACCTAGCAATTTTAGGAATGTAAGGAACGCACCTAGACAACCTAACAACTTTAGGACACATAGGAGACTCTCTAGTCCATATAGATATATGTATGATCTTAGGGTTGTTTGTCATTTCTGTGATCACGTAGGACACATAGCTCCTGTTTGTTTTAGGAAGCTTAGATTGATTGCTAAGGATAGGAAGAGGGCACACATTGATATTTATGATGTTCATACTAACTCTCAAGGACCCAAAAAGATTTGGGTACCTAAAACCCCTAATTAAATAATTATACAGGCGTGCTTGAAGGCATCACGTGTACTATGGTACCTTGATAGCGGATGCTCCAAGCACATGACCGGAGATGCATCCAAATTTGTTTTTCTAAAATCAATTGATGGTGGAAATGTCATATTTGGCGACAACAACAAAGGAAAGATCATTAGAACCGAAACTGTTGGCAAAAACAAAGCTTCCAAAATTGAAAATGTGTTGTTAGTCGAAGGGCTCAAGCATAATTTGCTTAGCATTAGTCAATTATGTGATAAAGGTAACCGTGTTATTTTTACTTCTAGTCATTGCATGGTCGAACGCCTTTGTGATAACAAGATTATCCTTACCGGCGATCGCATAGATAATATTTAAATGATCAACCTTAAAATTACTCCAACGGACTTTGCTCATTGTCTCATTACTAAAGGGGAAGAGATGTGGCTATGGCATAAAAGAATTGGTCACACCAATATGGAACTAATTAATAAATTAGTTTCAAAAGACCTAGTAATTGGTGTTCCTAAACTCAAATTCGAAAAGGGAATTTGTGATTCATGTCAAAAGGGTAAACAAGTAAAAACCTCTTTCAAATCAAAGAAAGTTGTTTCTACTTCTAGACCATTGCAGCTTTTGCACATTGATCTCTTTGGACCTTCTCGAACTATGAGTTTAGGTGGTAATTACTATGCCTTGGTTATTGTTGATGACTACTCTNATAAAAGAATTGGTCACACCAATATGGAACTAATTAATAAATTAGTTTCAAAAGACCTAGTAATTGGTGTTCCTAAACTCAAATTCGAAAAGGGAATTTGTGATTCATGTCAAAAGGGTAAACAAGTAAAAACCTCTTTCAAATCAAAGAAAGTTGTTTCTACTTCTAGACCATTGCAGCTTTTGCACATTGATCTCTTTGGACCTTCTCGAACTATGAGTTTAGGTGGTAATTACTATGCCTTGGTTATTGTTGATGACTACTCTCGTTATACATGGACCCTATTTCTTTCCCACAAAAGCAATGCACCTTCATCTTTTCGAAAATTCACTAAAAAGGTTCAAAATGAAAAAAGGTTGTAGCATTGTGGCCGTAAGAAGTGATCATGGAGGAGAGTTTGATCAAAGTGGGTTTGATACCTACTGCGATGAAGTAGGCATTGCACATAACTTCTCAGCCCCAAGAACGCCTCAACAGAATGGCGTTGTTGAGCGGAAAAACCGATCTCTCAAAGAGATGGCGAGAACTATGCTTAGTGAGGCTAACATACCTAAGTACTTTTGGGCGGATGCAGCGAGTACTAGTGCTTATATTCTCAATCGTGCGATTATAAGACCTACACTCAATGCTACTTCGTACGAATTGTATAAGGGTAGAAAGCCTAATCTCTCACATCTTCACATCTTTGGTTGCAAATGTTATGTTTTGAATAATGGAAAAGATAATTTAGGACTTTTTGATGCCAAGTCAGATGAAGCAATTTTTATAGGTTATTCTTTGACTAGTAAGGCCTACAGAGTTTTCAACAAACGTACCTTAGTTGTTGAAGAATCTGTGCATGTGATATTTGATGAGAATAATGCTCGCTTGTCGAGAAGGGTATCTTGTGATGATCTTGCAGGTTCCCTTGAGAAAATGAATCTTGAAGAAGGTGAATCTAGTAAAACAAAATCTGAAAAACAAGAAGATGTTGGAGAAAAAGTTGAGGACAAAAAGGATGAGCTTATTGCAAATGAGTTACCACCCAAATGGAGAACTTCAAGATATCATCCTTTAGACAACGTGATTGGTGAAATCTCCAAAGGGGTAACTACTCGTAGCTCATTACACAATTTAGTTAATCATATGGCTTTTGTATCTCAAATAGAACCTTCTACCATTGATGATGCCATTAATGATGAATACTGGACTATGGCTATGCATGAAGAGTTGGATCAATTCAAACGTAACGACGTTTGGGAGCTTGTGCCTAGACCACGTAATCATTCAATTATTAGCACCAAATGGGTATTTAGAAACAAACAAGACGAAAATGGTATTATCACTAGAAACAAAGCTAGGCTTGTAGCTAAAGGCTACAATCAACAAGAAGGTATAGACTTTGATGAGACTTATGCCCCTGTAGCGAGATTAGAAGCCATTAGATTACTACTTGCGTATGCCGCTACTATGAATTTTAAATTGTACCAAATGGATGTCAAGAGTTCTTTCTTGAATGGTTTCATTCAAGAAGAAGTGTATGTCGAACAACCTCCGGGATTTGAGGACTTTGAGTATCCAAATCACGTGTTCAAACTGAAAAAGGCTCTATACGGACTTAAACAAGCCCCAAGAGCTTGGTATGAACGTTTGAGTTCGCATCTCTTGGAGAATGGATTTCAAAGAGGAAAGGTAGACACCACACTCTTCATTAAGCATAATGCTCTTGACATGCTTTTAGTACAAATCTATGTTGATGACATCATTTTTGGTGCTACTAATGATCTTATGTGTGAGGAATTTACTAAGATTATGCAAGGGGAGTTCGAAATGTCAATGATGGGAGAATTAAATTTCTTCCTCGGTCTTCAAATTGGACAACTTGAACATGGGACATTTCTTAGCCAAACGAAGTACTCAAAAGAAATTCTCAAGAAATTTGAGATGGAAGATTGTAAAGAAATGGCTACCCTAATGAGTTCTCAATGCTCACTTGATAAAGATGAAAGTGGTAAGTCGGTTGATGTGAAACGGTATTGAGGTATGATAGGTTCTTTACTTTATTTAACTGCTAGTAGACCTGATTTGATGTTTAGTGTTTGTATGTGTGCTAGATATCAAGCGAACCCTAAGGAATCTCATTTGACCGCTGTCAAACGGATCCTTAAGTATGTGAGAGGCACCTTGAACTTGGGACTTTGGTATCCCAAAGGTTCAACATGCACTCTTGTTGGGTATTCTGATTCCGATTTTGCCGGATGCAAAATGGATAGAAAGAGTACGAGTGGAACCTGTCACCTTTTTGGTTGTTCTCTTGTTTCTTGGTTTAGCAAGAAGCAAGTAAGTGTTGCTTTGTCCACCGCCGAGGGCGAGTATGTCGCTGCGGGGTGTTATACCCGAACCAGGGGTCTAAACGGGTGGCTATTTTGATGAGGAATCAAGGAATGATTCAGCTTTGAGTTCAGGGTTCTGGAGCAGGTGATAATCGGTTTACACAAAGTGACAATCGATTATTTAAGGCTGCAGAATTTCTGGGGAAGCTAATAGTCGATTATCCGGAAAGGATAATCGATTATTGATCCCTGCAGGTGTTTCCAATGGGACTGATAATCGATTGTGGGGAATGATAATCGATTATTTGGCAGAATTCTGGGCAGGAAGAAGGGTGTTTTTGTGGGGGAATGGACTGGAAATATATGGAGATGATGAGGGAGTTCTTTTGGGTATTTTAATTGGAAGAAAAGAGTGAGATTAAGAAGAGAAATGGGGAGGTATGAAATGGGAGAAAATCAGGGATGGATAAACCAAGTTGGTGATTAAGAGATATTACACACTCTTAGCCTCACTTGGGGTTTGGATCTAGAATTTAACTAAGATATGACACACTTAATTAAATATCTAGAACCTAAAACTCACACTTAAGATAACCACTCTTAAGATATAGAATTAGGAATTTGGCTAAAATAGCATCACACTATTTTATAAATACTCAAAGAGTAAAAGGGAGTTTTTATTATTCAAGGTGTGTTACAATGGCCATAGGGCCTGAGTTTATATAGGTACATAAAGGAGACTCTAAGGTCTCTTATTCACACAAATCAAAGGAAAACAGGAGCCCCTCATTGTTGTCCTTTTGGTGGGGTAAAATCAGAGATGGGGGTGTGGTTGTAGGGTCTTTAGTGAAGGTACATCAGGGGGGAAATGAATGGCATCTCCTTTGGTGATTTGGAGGGGAATATTTTGGCCAAGTGGGAAGGGATTGTGCAGGAAATGGCTGGTTTTCTTTTGGGGGCTTCTTGTGGGTATTTTATGGGGAACAAGGTGAGGTTTGATTGGTGTAATGGGCAGGGATTCTTGGCCAAGGGTGAAGGGAAAGGGGAAGGGAATGATGTGATTTTGGACTTATGGGTTTGGGATATTGTAAGGGAAATATGGGCAGGAATGAATGGTTAGTGGTGGGTCAGGTTTTTTGGCCTTTTGTGGGTGTTTATGTTGGGATTGTGAGATTTAACTGGCCAGGAAATAAAGGGAGGAGAGAGGGTTTTATTTGTTTATTGGAAAGGCTTAATAGAAGGAAAATAATAACAAACAAAAGGTGGTTCACACATTCTTATTTTGGCTAGGGGCTAAAATAAGAGTAGGAAAACTTTATTTGGAGAAAGGAAATGTTTTTGGATCTTCAGGGTTGGGTGGGGTGTTGGTTCGGCCTAGGGGGGGGGGTGTAGGACAACCACGGTATCGGTTTGGGCTTTGAGATAGGGCAATAGAGTGAATTTAATCCAAATAACGTTGCCACACTTCGGCCTCATTCTCTTGAACCGCCTTCCCTTTTGTGGGCTACGGAAAGTCTTCGTGGATGCTCCCGGATATCTAACATCCTCCCCTTCTTCGAAAGAGTTTGCCCTCAAACTCGAGTTTTGTTCGAGTTCATCTTCGGGGTGAGACTCAATCACATTTGAACCTTCATCTTCGAACACGCTTTGCTTTGGTTCTCGGAAGAGGGAAACTTGGAAACACAACTTTGCACACTCAAAATGAGTGTTCTTTTTCCCACGCATTCCTCCATGGAATCCCTGCAAATGATACATAAAAATATTGGCACTGAAGGTCGTTAGTATTAACTCGGTCCCATGATTTCTCCTTTTACAGCAGGGTTCGTGTCGGGGGCTTTCAACGAGGCACAAGGGTTGTTTAGGATCCAACAATGGTTCATGGGGTGACTCTTCGGGCCTTGAATATTTGCACTTCATAAAGATGGAAAGTATGGATGGAGATTGTGCCTGGGGCAGTTGTGCCTGGCCTTGAATCATCGGAACAAGAGTGAGTCTCCTTGTATCCATCTCAAATGAATACGAGTTGGTGAAACCATCGTAGGTAACTCTCCGATCATATAACCAGGGCCTCCCGAGGAGAATATGACAAGCTCTCATGGGTATCACATCACACCATACGTCATCATGAAAGGACTAACCCATGCTGAAGGAAACCAAGCTACGTGTATTCACACGTATCCCTTCATTAAGATTCAACCATTGAATCTCATAAGGCTTCGGATGTGGCATCACCTTTAAATTGAGCTTTTCCACCGCTGTTTTCGAAACAACATTGGCACTACTCCCGCTATCAATGATCATTGAACACACCTTCTTTTGAATGGTGCAACGAGTATGAAAAATACTCTCTCGGTGTGTGGTATCATCCTGGGCAGCTGCATGACTAATGGTCTTTTGAATGACCAAAAGCTCACCTTCATCGGGAACAACAACTTCTTCTTCGTTCGGCTCTCCTTGAACCCAAAATGGATTCATTTCTTCTTCTTCACATTCAACAATAGCCATGATCTTCTTGTTTGGAAAGTCACTAGCATAGTGACCAACGCCTTGGCAACGAAAACACTTCGGGACTCGGCTACTTGAGGAACTTGGTTTTGAAAGAGGAGGAGCATTTGGTGAGGAAATAGGGTGCACGGTTTTAGGGTTTTGAGGGGAGGGATCTGTGGGGTTTTGGGCAGCAGTGGGGGTGGGATTTGATGTACTGGGGTAGGAAGAATTGCTACGGCTCAAAGAAGATTTGCCCTTCTTGAGTTGGGCTTCCACCTTAAGTGCTAACTTGGTTAACTCTTCAAGGCTCTCAAAGGTTTGCAGCTCCACTGTGTTGGCGATTTGGGTGTTTAGGCCAAATAGGTAGCGTACAAAGGTTTGCTCATCGTCTTCTTGTAGGTCACACCTCAATAAGAGTTCCTCAAACTCTCGGTTGTAATCCTCCACGGATTTTGAACCTTGCTTAAGTGTTTGGAGCTTAGCAAAATTCTCTCGAACATATTCAGCAGGTAAGAACTTCTTCTTTAAGAGGGACCTCATCTTAGTCCAAGTAGACACTGGTTCTATACCGTTCCTTCTTCTTTTGGTGCAAGTATTGGTCCACCAAGTTGATGCATACTTCCGGAACTTTAAGGCCACTATTTTGACCTTCTTTTCGTCGGAAACATCTTTGAAGTCAAAGACGCGTTCCACTGTTTCTAGCCACTCGATGAACTCGTCCGGGTCGTTCTTCCCTTCAAAAGTTGGAATGTCAACTTTGAAGTCAGAACCTTCATCGGCCTTAGGCTTCATGGTTCCACTAGAGCTAGCGTCTTCTTCACGGTCACTTCCTTGGAGCTCGTTGAGTTTCATCTTCGTAAGCTTGGCTACCTCTTTAGCCAAGTACTCTACTTGGGCTTTCAAGGCTGTGTTTGAGGCAATGAGCTCCTTGTTGGAATGCATGAGTTCAACCCTTTCTGTGTTGTTAAGTGTTGACTCACAGGTTTTGATAATTGACAAACACAATTTATTCAAGTCAAGATCAAAGTGCTACAACGACAAACATGAAGACTTGAAGTGCCATTCCTTGAAGTATTCAACAAGGTGCACAGGATTTTATTGGAGTCCAAGACGCGTTCGAAGCGCCTAACGGAGGACTCGGAGGAGTAGAAGATTTCCGAAGACTTTTATTTATTTGAGTCGTAGGAATTTTTGTAAGGATGACAAAAATATCTTCTCTCCAAAATTATTTTTATGAGAGTTAAAATAAAAATTATATTTATTTTTGGAGTCAGTTGAAAAATCTTTTTAACTGTTCAAAATAGTTTTATTGAGTCAGTTACAAAAGGTTTGCCAAACATTTATCAAATATTTATTTTGATATTAGAAAATATTTTTGGAAAGCAAAAATATTTTATTCAAATATTTTTGTGTTCATCGTTTGACACACAAAATAATTTTGGGACTCAATTTCTTCACTCCAAATATCTTTCATTTATTCAAAATTAATTTTGAATAATGTTTGAGATGATGGGGAGCCTTACCCCTGAATTTTTTGTTGGAAACAACCTATAAGCTCCAATTTTGTCCTTCACCTCGCCCACATGCTTGTGTTCTTCTTGTTTGGGCATTATTGTTGCAATAATCGATTTTACCTCAGGAATTAATCGATTACCGCGTCCAGAAGGAACTAATCGATTAACACCTTTGGTTTTAATCGATTATCACTTTTCTGCGCAGAAGGAATTTGGCTCTTGCAATTTTAATCGATTTTTTCAGCTTCCATAATCGATTTTTTATGATGCATTAATCGATTATGGTGATGCATTAATCGATTATGATGCTGCATTTTTCATCACAGCTTCTTTTCTTGGACCAACGGATATATTCCTTCAACCCCTTTATAAACTTCACTCCTTGGTCATTTTTACCTAGAACAAGCACTCCTAAAATCCCCCAATCTTGAGGTTATAATCCTCCATTCATTTCTTCCTCAAATTGATATATTTTGAGAGAAAACTAAGTGTTTTTAAGAGAGTGTTCTTGTCATCCATAGAGCTTAATCTTTTCTCATTTCTACTCTTGTGAGAGTCATTGTTGTGAGGTTGAAGAAGATTGTTCTTCTTGTTGTTCAAGGCTTATGTGATTTAAGTCTTGGTTGTGAAGTCTTGTAGAGGGCATATCTACGAGCGGTTGTGTCGAGGCTTGTAGGATTCAAGTTCTCGAGTTGTAAACAGTTTGTTTAGCACCCGTAAGCTTAACGGAAGTAGTGGTAGCTTCGAGAGAGTCTCTCGGGGAACTGGACTAGCCACGAGGTGGTGAACCAGTATACATTGGTGTGTTCTTTGCCTTCTCTCTTTTATTTCCGCTGCACTTACGTTTATATTTTTAATCCTGCGAAAATCGGTAAACATTCTCAACAACTCTATTCACCCCCCCTCTAGAGTTGCACGCCTTGACTAACACTCTTCATGGGACATAGTTCGGGATTCATTTGACATGGTTGTAATGGAGAGAGGGTGAGAGGGAGTGTGGATTCTGGCCGTGGGTTTGGAAGAAAAAAAAAGGGATGGAGTTTGAGCTCGAACAACTTACTTTTAGAGGCGTGTGAATGGTCCTTGAGGGATATGCAACACAAAGCTTTGATACCAAATGTTATACCCGAACCGGGGGTCTAAACGGCTGGCTATTTTGATGAGGAATCAAGGAATGATTCAGCTTTGAGTTCAGGGTTCTGGAGCAGGTGATAATCGGTTTACACAAAGTGACAATCAATTATTTAAGGCTGCAGAATTTATGGGGAAGCTGATAGTCGATTATCTGGAAAGGATAATCGATTATTGATCCCTGCAGGTGTTTCCAATGGGACTGATAATCGATTGTGGGGAATGATAATCGATTATTTGGCAAAATTCTGGGCAGGAAGAAGGGTGTTTTTGTGGGGGAATGGACTGGAAATATATGGTCTACTACTCCCTCAAGAAAACCCATAAAATTAACCTTCTTTTCTCACTCTAATTCTTCTCTTTACCCCTCCATACTTTACCCTCTTTTAGTCCCTACCTATTTGGTTCAACCACTAATTCTCTATAATGTGTGAGAATCGGAGTGAACCCCAAACTTAGATCTTAAAAATTAAGATATGACACACTTAATTAAATATCGAGAACCTAAAACTCACACTTAAGATAACCACTCTTAAGATATAGAATTAGGAATTTGGCTAAAATAGCATCACACTATTTTATAAATACTCAAAGAGTAAAAGAGAGTTTTTATTATTCAAGGTGTGTTACAATGGCCATAGGGCCTGAGTTTATATAGGTTGATAAAGGAGACTCTAAGGTCTCTTATTCACACAAATCAAAGGAAAACAGGAGCCCCTCATTGTTGTCCTTTTGGTGGGGTAAAATCAGAGATGGGGGTGTGGTTGTAGGGTCTTTAGTGAAGGTACATCAGGGGGGAAATGAATGGCATCTCCTTTAGTGATTTGGAGGGAAATATTTTTGCCAAGTGGGAAGGGATTGTGCAGGAAATGGCTGGTTTTCTTTTGGGGGCTTCTTGTGGGTATTTTATGGGGAACAAGGTGAGGTTTGATTGGTGTAATGGGCAGGGATTCTTGGCCAAGGGTGAAGGGAAAGGGGAAGGGAATGATGTGATTTTGGACTTATGGGTTTGGGATATTGTAAGGGAAATATGGGCAGGAATGAATGGTTAGTAGTGGGTCAGGTTTTTTGGCCTTTTGTGGGTGTTTATGTTGGGATTGTGAGATTTAATTGGCCAGGAAATAAAGGAAGGAGAGAGGGTTTTATTTGTTTATTGGAAAGGCTTAAAAGAAGGAAAATAATAACAAACAAAAGGTGGTTCACACATTCTTATTTTGGCTAGGGGCTAAAATAAGAGTAGGAAAACTTTATTTGGAGAAAGGAAATGTTTTTGGATCTTCAGGGTTGGGTGGGGTGTTGGTTCGGACTAGGGGGGGTGTAGGACAACCACGGTGTCGGTTTGGGCTTTGAGATAGGGCAACAGAGTGAATTTAATCCAAATAACGTCGCCACACTTCGGCCTCATTCTCTTGAACCGCCTTCCCTTTTGTGGGCTACGGAAAGTCTTCGTGGATGCTCCTGGATATCTAACACGGGGAGTTGTTGTGCACAAATCCTTTGGATGAAACAACAACTTTTGGACTATGGCCTTGTACTTGATCACATTCCTTTGCGTTGTGATAATGTGAGCGCCATAAATATTACGAAGAATCCTGTTCACCATTCTCGTACTAAGCATATAGATATTCTCCATCACTTTATTAGAGACCATGTCCAAAAGGGTGATGTTGACATTGAGTTTGTCGATACAACTAATCAGTTGGCCGACGTATTTACTAAACCCTTGGACCGTGAGAATTTTAGTCGTATTAGAAATGCCTTAAGAATTATTGCTATTAACTAAGTTCTTTTAATTATTTTCATGTTAACTGATTGAATTTTGTACTAATTTAGGCATCGAAGTGGTTTTTAAGTCTTTTTTGCAGGTCTCTATCCATCCACTCCTCTTCCGCACTTCATAGAAAGCATTTATTAAGGGGGAATTTTGGTTTGGATATAGAGATTTAATGGTTGAAGATTTTCTCATTGATTCTATGGTTTCTGCTGATTTATTCGAATAATTCCATATTTATTCGAATAAAACCCTGACTCGATATTATTCTTTCCGCGGCTTCAATTGTTTAGTTGACTAAAAGTGAACCTAGTCGACTAGTTCTGGGCTCCTCAGATTTGCTTTGCTCTGGTTTATTCGAATAAATTGTCTCCTATTCGAATAAATGAGATCAAATTTTGTTGACCCAATCTATTCAAATTCAAGTCCACTTATTTTTCCCAACCTTATCTCAAAACTCTTTTTCTCTTCCTCGCCGCACAGCAACTCACTCACGCACAGCCGAATCTCCTTCTTCCTCGTCGCTTCAACGCTGTGCTTCCCTCTCGCCGTTGCCACGCAGCCGCCGCCTCCAATCCATCACTCCAGGGCGCAATTCGCTGCCGTGCAGAAGCCCTAGGCGACGGTGCTCTATCTTCCTCGTCGCTGCTCTTTGCCGTGCACTACCCTAGGCGACACACTTCATCTTCTTTGCACTTCCTCAGGGACGCAGGCTCCATCCGGTATTCTTCTCTCAGTTTCTTCATGTCCACTTCAAAGAAGAGAACAATTCGTCCTCGTCACACTTCTTCTCGTGCAGAATCTTCAAATCCGGGCAATTCCTCAGGTAAATCTGAATTTGTTTACTCTATGACGCCTAAAATTTTCTTTGATAATTAAGATTCTTTGAACTTTTTTACAACTCGTCTTCTTCCTCGAAAAATTGTTGCTCCGAGATATGTTGATGCTCGTGTATTTGAAAATGACCAATCCTTTGCTTCAGTTCTTACTAAGCTTCGTACTTCGGGCTTATTGAATGTTATCTCTTTTCGTGAGGGTCACGTTCCGATTGACCATATCAAAGCCTTCTATGCCGCGATGACCTTCAAACGTCAAAACACCAATTATGTGATAACTTCAACTTTTTGTGGCAAAACTGTTGTTATTACTAGTTTGGAGTTAAATACTTTGTTTGGACTTGACATTTGTAAGGCTGAACTCTCTACTGCGAAGGTTTCTACGAATTTTTAGTACACTTTTGATGAAAGGCTTTGTTGGGAAGAAATGGGTTTTCATCCTCAGCTCAATGATTCGGGCAGGCCAATGGTTAGCGGGATGCAGCCCCCTCAACGTTTGCTTCAGTACATTTGTTCTTACATCATGCGGGGTCAAGCTGGAAATCATCCCCAAATGAGCAAAGACGATTCTATGCTCATTTATGCAATTCTTAAACCCGTCAAAGTCAATTGGGGTAAGTACATTATGAGTTATATGCATCATTTCCGTGCCAGAGCGAGAGCTCTACCCTGTCCCATTCTTCTTACATTCTTGTTGAAGAAAAAGGGATTTGTTTTTACCAATGAGGATATGACACCTGAGACACCGTTTTGGAGGATCAAACGGGAAACTGTGATGCGGGCTATGCATGATACAAATGACGAGAATCGTGCGAGTTCTGGGCCATCCGAACGCCAGTATGCCTCATCTAGTGGAAAGGTGACCCTGCCCATGCTCTTTGAGTCGTTGCAAGATATTCGCCGTCAACAAGCAATTCATGGGTATAATTTAAACAAGTTATTGGTAAAACATGGTGAGCAATGGGAGTCTCCATCTATGGATATGCTTCAACCATATATGGGTCATGGTTCTTCCTCCTCCACTTCGCATGCGGCTGGAAATGATGATGATGATGATGATGATGCCGATGACGATGGTGATGATGATGCTGGTGATGCAACTACTCTTGTTGATGCCGCCATGGATGCGGAATGAGTGGATGGGGCACTCATGTTATTTTCTAAACTATTTATCTAACATTTTCTCTTTTGTCTTTGTTATATGTGACTTTGCTATCTCCCATTCTTGCTTGTGTTTTGATAAACTCAGCATTTCTTTTGTCCTTCACCCATTTTGCTTATGACAAAAGGGGGAAGAGTATGTGCTTGTGCTTGTTGCAGTGCAATCATTAAGGGGGAAGTAAGAGAAGTACTCTAAACTCTTTTCTTTAAACTTAAACTCTTTACTTGTATTGTCTTGTGTGCTCTTGTTATATTTGTTGGAAACATGATATTATTTGGAATCAAGCCCAAGCATTTGATAAGTTGGGTTTGTCATTATCAAAAAGGGGGAAATTGTTGACCCTTGTGTTTTGATAATGACAACTATCTCATGGGCTTGGCACTTTGGATGTTGATCTTCATTATCATGCGTTGGATCTCAAGACAAGTGTGAAGATATAGTGTTTTTGTTTTTCATTTTGGTCTTAGCATTTTTGTCAAAGTGTATGGCACGTTAGTTGTTTTTTCTCTTTGAAAATGTTTTCCAAAAACCCTTTAAATTGTTTTTGAGTCAGTTGCAAAATCACTTTTTCAAAACTGTGAAAACTGTTCGAATAAATCTTGTTTTATTCGAATAAGTTAGAGTTTTCAGTTCTGACTTATTCGAATAGTTAGCAAATTATTCGAATAAGTCTTGAAGCTCATTTCTTCAATCCTACAGTGACTTAGTCGAATAAGTCTTCACTTAGTCGAATAAGTCTGCGTTTTTCGCTCTAAACTATTCGGATAAATCTGATTTTATTCGAATAAGTCATCAGTTTAAACGGCAGATTTGTCAGTTTTTAAGGAAGTTATTCATCCCTATCTTCCATAACTCTTATACAACGGCTCTTTTGCTTGAAGAACATTATATATATCCATTCAAACATATTCTTTTATCAATCCAAGCATTTCAATTCATACTTTTGATCCTTCAACAATACTTCCAAGCAATTCTTCAAGAAATCAATATTTGATTGAGTTTTGGAGAGTACTAGTGTGCCATACTCTATAAGTTCTTGTATTCTATAGCAATCCACTCTTAATTTGAAGAGTATTTCCGCTATGCACTTTGTTTTGGAACGGTGTGTGAATTGTAAAAACTTGAAGTTGTTATAATTCAAGTTTTGGAGAGAAATCCTAATTCTTGTGAAATCAAGACTTCGGCGGAAAGGTTAGAGGCTTGTGAATTCAAGTTCTCGAGTTGTAATCGGATTGTCAAACTCCGTTAAGGTTGACAAAGTTAGTGGAATCTCGGGCACGTTTGCTTCGGGGACTGGATGAAGGCATTAGGCCGAACCAGGATACATCGTGTGTTGCTCCTTCTCTTCATCTTTGTGTTCTTGTAGTTGATATGCTCTTGCAAATTTTTTTGTTCTTCCAAAAGTTTTGATTTTTGAAGAACACCTCTATTCACCCCCCCCCCTCTAGAGGTGCGTAAGTTGTTCAACAAGGGAAACAAGCTTCCCTTAACGTGTATACAACACTAAGACACTCAAGAACAAGACTCTCCTTAAGAGTGGATATTGAGTAAAATATATACGCTCAAGAACAACTCAAACTTCACACAAATTGGCTCTAGAAAGCTATGGAAAATAATATGATTTGGATGCAATGATAATATGAATATTGTGAAGTGAATTGATGTGTAAAGCAGACCCAAACACCCCTTTTTATAGTGCCAAAATAGGCTCCAACGGACCAATGCATTAAAGGGGTGATTTGCTTGATTTATGGGGTTGATTAAAAAAAAAGGATCTGCAGGATATTGGCTTCCCATCGATGTTTGGACTTACCCATCGCTGGTAAGCCAATTTTCCTTCAGTTTTGAAGCCAACGGTCACCTACCCATCGATGGGTAAATGCTTCCCATCGCTGGGTGGGAGGTTGACTTTCAAATAAGGAAAGAATCAGCCTTAAATGACTCACAACGGTCATGCCTAACCAGCGATGGGTATGCCCTCCCATCGCTGGGTTCCCATCGATGAGTAAAACTTCCCATCACTGTTTGGCATGGTTCTGGAAATCAGTTGGGCTGAAGGCTGCTTACCCATCGCTGGGTAATATCTCCCATTGCTGGGTGGCATGATTCTGGAATCCCGGGATCACTTACCCATGGATGGGTGATATCTACCATCGCTGGGTAGATGGCTAGCCCAGAACCATGGCCTAGCTGACCGACGCTAAAACCCGACCGAAAAATGAAAAGTTCTCCAAAGTAAAAACTAAGTATTTAAAACACTTATTTAATGTATTGTGATGTCAAAATAAGCTTTGTAAGTTGAAAACCACGTCGTTAAGGTAAAAACCACGGTTGACCAAGTCAACACCATACACGGGTGGTTTTTACCAAAAGACAAAACCGAAAGGTGGTTTTCATGATGTTTTTATTGGAGAACCATTTAAATGCATTAAAAAACAATTGCCACACAACAAGACTAGAAAACCACTTCATTTAAGTGAAAACCGCGGCAAGCCAATTTTATGCCGTTTCGCATGGTTTTTATCAAACGACAAAAAACGAAAGGTGGTTTTTGAAGTGTTTTTGATGGAAAACTATTTAAATGTGTCCAGAAGTAAAAACCAATCATAAAAAGTTAAAAATCACTTGGTTGGTTTGGATGCCAAAAACCAACGCCGATAACCGAATGCTGAACGCCGGTTTCTGAAAACCAAAAGCCGGTATCTGAAAGCCGAACGCCAGATGGCTTGGTTTTTGGTTTCGGCGAACACCAAGTGTTTTTAATATGTTTAAGCATGTTTGAAAATAATTTTGATGATATGTAAAATGCAATAAATAATGTTTTAGCCCAAAGAGTCAAAGTGCAAAGCTTGGGTCGGTCTTGATCACATTGTGATCGACTCAACGACGCTAAAGACTACGGTCTTCGTTCTTGGTCTCTTTTAGCTCTTGTTCTCTTGCTTTCTTCTTATATTTATTTCTCGCCTTGTATATTCAACAGCTTGTCTCGTTCACGGCGGTTTGGCATTATCAAAACCTGTCATAAAAACGAACACGGCTTTAGTACGAAAATTTGATAAACCAGTGTTTCAACAATTTCCTGCCTTTTTGATAATAGCAAACAAGACGGAGTTATGCATAGGAGGATTGATTTGAGACTTAAAAAATGTTCCCCCCTTAATAAATGCAATTTTCTTTTCAACAAAGTTTATGTGTTGAATAAGAGTTAGTTTTAGAAAAACTTCCCCTTCAATCTATGCATAACCTTTATATCTTCCCCCTTTTGACATTAACAAAAAGAATTGAAAGTAAGCTTTTATTCATTAAAAGGGAAATGCGGAATACAACGGATAAAAATACAATCATATTTAATAAGGGGAGAATAAAGAAGAGGTCGTGGCGTCGATGTTGGCCTTCTTCTTTGAAGCCTCGGTTTTGGTCCTTGACTTTCCTCTGGCCATTGTTGAAGCATTTAGAAAGTGAGTGGAGGCTTAAAGTATGCAAAAGGAATGTAAATTGTGTGTTAAAAATGACCAAGGATGGTTAATATTTATAAGAAAAGAGAATTTGGGCCCTTGGTGTTCAAAAATATGGTTGTTGGGCATTGAATGAGGTGCCCAACGGCTATGATTTTTGAACTGCGACAGGCTTCCTAGCGATGGTATGGTTCTCCCATCGATGGGAAGGCAAGTACTGGAAAGGGTGGAAAAAGTGAATGCAGGCTTCCCAGCGATGGTAAGATTCTCCCATCCATGGGAAGACAGCTACTGGAAATCCGTTAAAAAATTTTTAAAAAATAAGTGTCAAACACCTAGCGATGGCAAGAAGTTCCCATCAATGGGAAGAAAATCCCATCAATGGGAAGAGGGCTGCTGGTGACGAAGCTAAATATAGCGGTAAGTCAATAAAATTAACCGAGACTAACTCGGGTCGTTTCACAAGGATTGGCGAAAGGAAGTATTTGTTAATTATCTTAATATTTTATTTCAAAACAATTAATTTAGAGCAATCAAGTTCAAAGCAATAGCAGTAATATGATTAATCCAATCAATAATTTAGAAACAGGTATGAATCGAACAGGTATATGGGCTAAGGTAATAATTTTGAATTAAATTAACTTCTTGATTAATTTGATTTTATATCATTAACTTATCCGTTTTTTCAGGCCTCATTAATGTGTCTAGATATGGTTGGCTAGATTATTTTTCTTAACTCATAGACAAGCTAGACAAATAATCTCCAAAGATTAATTAATAAAATGGCCAGATCTATTAATTAGTGAATCTCATTTTAGACAAATGAATCAAATTAATCAAGTAACTAACTTAATTTTAATTACTAATCATTAACCCATTCTCTTAATTCAATTCATACCTTAGTATAAATTTAGCCACTAAAAGCCATAAGTACACAATTTAAACTGAACAATAAAAGATAATTTTATTAATAAAGGAAGAGTGTACAAGAAAGCTTACAAATCTTGAAGAACGTAATACAAATCACACAAATCTTCAAATCAACACTCTAATATGTTTAAGAAGAACTCTCAAACTCAATAAAGGTGAAAAAGTGGAATTTTGGGGTGATGGTGAAGGGAATGACCGAGTAGGGTATTTATACCCGAGCAGACCACACAGGCGGGTAGACAGGCGGCCACCGCCAACAAGGGAAGCTTCTGGATCACCGATACTTCGAGAACAACGGCAGGCGGTCACGCAGGCGGCCGCCTGCTAGCCCGCCGGAGCCCTTTTTGACCGTCTGCGCGTGTGTTCGCCGCCGGAGCCATCCTCGCCGTTTGCTGATGCTTGGCAGGCGGCCTGGTAGGCGGCCGCCTGCCTGGTCGCCTGTCGACACTCGGCTTCTTATCTCTTGTTTTGCTTCAAATCTGATTCTGAACACCTTTCTCTCTTACTCCAACTTCCAATTCCATTCCAGCAGGAAAATATTACTAATTTCTTGTTGAAATCAAACATATTTTTATTTTTCTTGACCCATTCAATTTTACTACTCAAAAATATAGAAATATGACTTTTAGTAAAAAACTATTCTTTAAGAAGTTATAAAAATATGTTAAATGCGAGGGTAAAATTATGTATAAAACGACTTTATCAATCTCCTCACACTTAAACTTTGCTTGCCCTCAAGCAAACCAACTCTAGTAAGAAAAGGAATGACATGATTCGCTGTCAAACTCGTAACTCTTGAGGACAACACCAAGTTAATAATCATATATCTTTCTCTTACTTTAACCAATTCCTTGACTTATTTTCTTTCCATTTAAAAACTAACTTGTTTCTTAACTTTTTAGGAGATGCACAAGATTTCATTCTCTAACCAATTCCCAAAGGATTCAAAACTTAGTAGTTTTTGGATTTAGGAAATTACCTCCTCTGTCATGACTTAACTCAAGTAAATTCGTGAGTATCCCATAAATGTCCTTGTGATATTATTATTTATAATTGTTAATGATTTCCTTTGGACAGAGCTCCGTGGGAGATAGAATACTCACTTATAATGCAAATAGACTATCGAGATTGTGGGTTTATCCCATTTTATTTGCATACTTGCTCCCTCACCTTATGCGATTCACGGGAGAAGCAGAGCTCCTTTACGGAGATAGGATTCCCAATTCGTCACTTAAGCGCAATCTCAATAGCCTTCTTTTTTTTTTGATGGAAGAGAAATTCCAATAATCCAAACTACTAGTTATTAATCCATAACTTTCTCAACCATTAAACCCACTTGTGCATCTCTTAATAAATAAGAAACAAGTTAATTTGTTTAAATAAAAGGAAAATAGCAAGGAACAGAAAGAGTTTTAGAAAAATATGACTACAACTTAGTGTGTATCAAGAATTACGAAAGTGAGACAACAAATCATACCTGATACTCGAACTCTACCTCCTCACACTTAAATCGAACTACGTCGTCGTAGTCGAGATGCAAGAGATGAGTCAAAGAACAGGGGTAACATTCCTCCTCACACTTGAAATAAACAATAAAGTGCAAGCTTTAACCATAAATGTTTGCATAAATTAGAGTAGCAAAATAAACGGGCCAAGTCAAAATAAAATTGTTTAAAATCAACAGAAATTAAAATATCTTCACTACTGGTGGCTGGCTCTAGATGAAGGAGCTGGAGGCGCAGACTTCTTACCGAGCAACATCTCAAGCTCATGGAGCTTCTCAGTGTGAGACTCTAGGCGTTCATTCATCCTCTTCATTTGCTTCTCATGGGCGCTATGGTCAGTCTCCATGATGTCCTTCACGTCTTGTATGCTGGTCTCGATAGTGCCCATCCTCGTGTTCATTCTCATCATCTCCTCCAGGATCTTCTGGAGCATGGATGCCTCAACACCACTCGACGAGGCTGTGTACGTCCCAGGCTGAACAAAAGAAGAAGAACCCCCAGCCATGAAAGTCCTCGTGGTGGCGTCTGGAATGGGAGAATGGACGGTGGTATCAAGCCCATCAAAGAAATCCAAGGGTGGCTCGTCACTCTCCTCTACTCGGCGCCTCTTCGCGATCCCCATCTTCGTGAGAGATGTGGTGCTCAGAGGGCGAATGCTCTGATCAATGGGAAGCAAATTACCCGGCATCTCGGGTAGAAGGGAACGTGCAAGGCGAGTAACGAAGGGTCCTGCCTGAAGAGTCTTCCTATGGCTCTTCCCCTGAAGTAGGAAGAATTGAGCCATGAAGATAGCCAGGTTCACCTGAACCCTTTCTGCCAAACTCCAGAAGAAGTATATGTCCTTCATGCCAATCCGATTTGAGTTAGTCGGACGACCGAAGAGACCATGTGAAAGCACAAAACTAAGTATCCTCCAGGCGCTGCTCCTCCACTAACAAGTATGCGTCGTGTTCTTGTTGAACGGCGTCGTCGACAGGGAATGCTGCCGCCAGAACTGCTCAAGACTGAACACTGAAGGTAAGGAATACGGAAGAGCAGCAAAGACAAGGGAGCGTGCCTCCTCCTCAGTGTATATCCCCAAATGACGCCCGAACTCGGCCATGGAAAGGGTGAAGGCTCGACCACTAAGTGAAAACGTCAAGGTGGAATCGAGTCTGACATCAGCTCCATCCTTAATAGGCCGGCCACCATGCAGACACTGGTAGGTGCAAAGAAACTCGATCGTTAGCTCCAAACTAGACTGCTCTGCAAAGGTGAGCAAGTAGCGCCAACGAGAGTCTGCGAGTAGTCCATCAATCTCCTCCCAGTGGTTCCACTCCTCTAAGGTCGCCTGATCAAGAGAGAGTGGCCCTAGAAGAGTTCTCTTCTTTCCCCATGTGCGAAAATGCTTACGGGGCTCTCCTGATGGCAAGCGCATCTCAAATGCAGCTGGCAGCGTGACATTGAGAACCTCCTCCTCATAATCCTTCTCAGCCATCTGTAACCAAAACACAAAAAAAAACAAGCAATACAAATAAAGTTAAGAATAAAAATTTAAACAGTAATGTGAATAGTAAAGCATTGACGGGTTGCCTCCCGTTTAGCGCTAGATTTAATGTCGCTAGCTCGACGAAGTCAGCATGATCATTCAAGTTCTCGGAAGTGAAAAACTTCCATATCCCTTTGAAAGGTTCCTCCGCGGTAAATTTTCAACTGATGACCGTTAACCTTGATTCGTCCTCGATGAGGATCATCAATCTCAACAGTACCATAAGGAAAAACCTGAGTGACCGTGTAAGGACCTGTTCATCTAGACTTAAGCTTCCCTAGGAAGAGCTTAAGCCTAGAATTATACAACAACACCTTATCTCCTACATTAAATTCATGATTTGCTTTAATAAACTTATCGTGATAAATCTTCGTACGCTCCTTGAGATAGGCATTGTTCCTAAAGGCTAAAGTCTGCCATTCGTCTAACTCATTCAATTGGTAGAAACGCTCCTTCCCAGTAGTAGAAGGATCGAGACACACATTCGTTAGGCCCAGAGCGCTCTATGCTCAATTTGGACTGGCAGATGGCAGGACTTTCCAAAGACTAAGTGAAAGGGAGTAGTTCCTATTGGAGTCTTATAAGCCGTCCGAAAAGCCCATAACGCATCATCTAACTTATCAGACCAATCCTTCCTAGAATGCGCTACAGTCTTCTTTAGTATAGCTTTAAGATCTCTGTTAGTATTCTCAACTTGCCCTTGGGTTTGGGGATGATATGCTACTCCACATCTATGTTGGACCCCATATTTTAATAACAGCTTAGCCATTGGGTCACTTCGAAAATGGGTTCCTCTATCACTAATCAAAATCTTTGGAACACCGAATCTAGTGAATAACTTCTTGAGGAACCTAACTACAGTCCTTGTGTCATTGGCCGGGCAGGCTTGAGCCTCAACCCATTTTGACACATAATCAATTGCCACAAGAATATACTTATTCCCTCGAGAGCTTGGGAATGGCCCCATGAAATCAATGCCCCAAACATCAAAAACCTCACATGGCAATATATATTGTTGGGGCATCTCATCTCTCTTAGAAATATTCCCAACTCTCTGACATTGACCACAAGACTTAACAAAATTGTGAGCATCTTTAAAAATCATGGGCCAATAAAATCCTCAATCTAACACTCGACGGGCAGTCTGATTACCAGAGAAGTGACCTCCAGCGGGCTCGGAGTGGCAATGCGATAGGATATCGCGAGCTTCAGACTCATTGACACAACGACGCACTACTTCATCAGAGCATATTCGAAATAGATAAGGATCATCCCAAAAGTAGTGCTTAACTTCTGAGAGAAACTTTTTCTTCATGTGATAATAAAAATCAATTGGTATAACTTTCCCAACAAGATAGTTAGCAATGTCAGCATACCACGGGGTCTGAGTTATGGATAAAAGTCTCTCTTCGGGAAACAATTCTTCAATCTCATTATTACTAAACTGGTCTACTGATAAGTCCGTTTCATTCTTATCATTTACATCATATTCTAAACGTTATTGCATGTAAATAATATTTAATCATCTCATAAAATGTGATTTTGATGGATAAAACTCTCATTTTCGTTCTAAGAGTCATAAAAAGGGATTCCACATGAAATCATTATAAATCATCCATTTTATGTTCAAATGCTTGAGAAAACGGGAATGAATCATCAAAGGATCAAGATACGGGCTTAAACGAACTTCCGGGAAGATAAAATCGACGTTCGGGCTGAAAACCAGCGAAATTGGGCCAAGATCTCGCATCAGCCGCGAAGCCCAAACGGACCAGGGCCTAAGGCATCCAACTTGGACGCTTGGCCAAGTTGGACGCTTGGGAGTTGGACGCCTTGGCTAGATTACAATCCAAGAAAGACACGTGGCGAAACCCGATTGGCCGGAGCAGCTCAAGCGTCCCGACGCCTGGACTTGGACGCTTCGACTTGGACGCCTCGGCCTCTGTCCTATAAATACAGCGAGATTCTCCCCATTCAGCACATCACCATCACTCCCTTTCTCGGGAATTGAGATTTATATTCCAGTTTCAAATATTAGTTTAGCATTCTAGTAGTTTTAGAATAATTTCTGGAGAAATTCTGCTCCCGTTCTGTTCTGTTCCGCTTTTACGGAAGTTGTAAGTTTCCTTATTTAATAAAATGCTGTTTTAATTTATGTTTGCATAGTATGAGTTAGGGTCTGGATCTCTGGATCCGGACTAGTTTGGTTGTATATTTTGATGTTAAATTAATGTTGGAATGGTTAATCTATTGTTCTTGCCTTATTTAGTTAATTATTCTCAAAAGATTTAATTAGCTATTTATTGAGAAAATATTGTATGCCAAGAGGCTATGATGTTCATGTGCAACGAATTAAGTACAAATCTAGAAATGGATGAGTAGTAATAGAAATATTATTATTCCAACTGTTAATTTGATATGACAAAATAGATCCGAATGATGTCCAGACCCTAGGTCCAGATCCATACTTATACTATGTAAATAAATTTATTTATTATTTTTAATCTGCTTAATCTTTAATCGTTCCGAGAAGACTTTCATAAACCAATCCTAACCTTCGCCTAGTTAGAGTAATTAGACTAATTCCCTTCGTCCACTCCTCGAGAGATACGACACTCGGAGAGAAAACTAACCCTTTACTGGGAAGGTTTACTACCCGAAAAACTACAACTGTCAAATGGCGCCGTTGCCGGGGAGTGGCACGGCATTAGTTTAATTTCTTCTGATTAGCTTGGGTGAAGATTGGTTAGAACGATCTTCTCACTTCTTTTCACCAACCACCCGTAATAATTATTATGGATAACCCCAGTGGTTATTACGGTCCACTTTCTTACTACCAATCACCCAATCCTTTACTGGGAAGGTTTACTACCCGAAAAACTACAACTGTCAAATTAGAATTGATGCAGAAAATGCTGGATGACTTCCAAAGAGAGAGACTAGAAGCTGAGGCTAAAGCTGATAAATTAGTCAATGATCTCTGCAAGGCTGTTGAACTTAAACGCTCTCTCCAATCTCAAGATCAAATGAGGGAGATTAATGCTCAAAAAGAGGCTCTAGAACCTAAGACCAACCCTGAACCATCTAACCATCAGGTCCAGTTCTAGAAGATTCACCGAGACTAACACTATCACAAAAACCCGAGAGTATAACAACTCTCGCTAGGGCAACTATGGTGATGTTACCTGAACCCCTACCCAGCCAAGTCCCAACAATCATAGTCGTACATGAGGTGGAACCAATCAAGGAACTTGACTCAGAACCACCCACGCTTATTCAAGAAAAGGTGCCCACAACAAACCAACAAGATTCCAATGACCACGAGTTTGAGGAGGAACCTGTAGATGAGGAAAAATCATGCATAGAAAGGCCAACTGAGTCTATGGAAACCTGCACAAATAATTACTCATTTGATGATTCAGACCATGCTTTCTTTGACTCCTTACTTGATGGGTATGACTATGTCTGCCCGAAGGATGGTTGGAACTTAAAGAGTTGGGATGAACTTTTGATGAGTGATGACGAGGACTATTCGTTGGGGGAAGGTTCGGTCATAATCATTCAACAAATAGATAGTCAGCCTATTGAAGACAAGGACGAAATCAATCATGCTATGAAAGCCAATGATGTGGAACATCTGAGGAGACTTCCGCCACCACCCACCTCTCTAGAGTCTCTTCCATTTATCCTGTTGCCACCATGCCACAGGGATGAGTCAAGGATCCTGGACCTTGACCGAGCAAGAATTCAAACAAGGTGGCATCAGAAGAGGGTCAAAAAGGCTAAACCTTATGACTCTCGGATTGGGAAGTCACGGAAAAAGTGGGTGAGCGCCAAGCTACAGACGTTAAAGAAGCGCTTTAACGGGAGGCAACCCGTCATTCAGATAATTAAATTATTAAATATGCTTATTTGTTATTTACTTGCCGCACCAGTTGGGGGCAAGATTTTACTCGTTTGGCTTTTCTGTTCTACAGATGGATGTTGCTTGGATGATTCCGCATGGAAACCGCCGCACATTACAGAACCTGGAAGAGCTCCCCTTGCACTTAGAGGAAGCAAGGAAGAAGTTTCTCACTTGGGGAAACACGAAGATGCTCCTGCCTTTCATGGTGCTAGACCCTTCCTATCTGGATGAACTAGGGCACTGGGAGGACATCGACGAGTTTCTGTACAACCCAAAATGGAGGATCTTGCTGTTCCTGCAAGAACAAGCAAGCCTGGAAGTCACCATCGAGTTTCTTTGCTCTCTCCGCTTCCTCAATGACGGAGAGGAAGTAAAGTCAACAACTGAAGTCACCTCCACCACCAAGGTCACGTTCACTCTGATGGGACGACTTCTGAACCTTACTGTGGCAGACTTAGGGTGGCTGATTGGTCTTTACACACTTGATGAAACGCAAAGCCTGGCCTTTTCTAATCTTCCCGACCAGTTGGATCCGGAGTTCGATGTTAAGAAGTTCTGGAAAGCTCACGGGTATGGACGATATCACAGTGGAGCAAGCATAGCTAGGAATTGGGTGCGTCCGTCTTGGAGAATTTTACACCATGCATTGACTCATAGCTATTTCGACCGTTCTCATGGCCCTGACGTGGTGTTTGATTCTGATATGCTATTTTTCTGGAGTCTGGAAGCACGCGTACCAGTCAATCTAGCAACTTTTGTGGCTCGATTCCTATTTGCTCAGTCAACTTGCAACCACCAGTTTGTCTTGTGTGGGCCAATGGTTACGCTTCTGGCCCGAGGATTACGTATGTCAGTTCCCGATGTTCTCCCAGAAGCTGCAAGCATGTTACGACCACCGACAGGGTATTTGGCCCAGATTGCTTATAATAAAGAAAAATAAGGAGGCACGACCTAGAAGGCAGCATACAATTCCTATGACTCTTCGCGAGCTTTCGCAGGCTATGTTTGCATTCCAGGATTCTGTATACTCTCGCTTAAGGAGCATGGAGACGCTCCTTATCACGCAACAATGGCAGGTGGAGGAAATACTTGAATACACCCGGGAACAAGGAACAAAGAAGGCCGAGCATGAGGCAGGTCCGAAACAAGGCAAGCGTCAGGGATAGTGAGATCCTTAATTTTCCTTACTGCATTTAGAACATTAATTTTGGATATTTATATGATCGTATGTTAGAATTCTTATTTTCATGACTCTTAAAACCCTTTTTGAGAATATTTTATGAATTATTTCATGTTTACATGTTATGGTCATCTATTATTTCAATCTTCATCTTTGAATTTTATAAGTATTGAGATAACTTAGCAATTGCATGTGAGCATTTCAAACAATTAACTCCAATACCAATAACACTCCTAAACCACGAGGGCGTGGCTCCGTTTAAGTGTGAGGAGGCAAGAGTTCTTTGTTGAAATGATCTTTTTAGGAATTGTTTTGTCTATATATTTTTAGGAAAAGATTTTTATAGAATAGTCATCAATTTTAATTGTTTGATTAATTAATCTTTAGTTATCACCCGTAAAAATTGGAAATTTTTAAATTTTTTTATCAAACCTCTATTTCTACTCTAACCTTCTTGGGAATGTTTTATAAAATGATTTGGGATAAATTCACAATTGTCTAAGAGTTTTTAAGATCAATCAATTTTTAGTTGCTTTATTGAAAATCTTTCTGCAAATACTCACCTATCTTTTGTTGACTCTAAGTATTTGTTGTTTCTTAAAAAGAGTTATTTTCAAGGTGTAAGGGGCGATGTTTCAAAGCATACTTTGGTGAGACTGAGATTCTTGTTTTAGCCAAAAAGTAGTTGGTTCTAGGTCAACTGATGAGGCGTGGTGAGTATGCCAAAAAGCACATGGTTCTATATTGCGTGATGAGGCCTTTTGAGTGTTAGAGTCAAAAAGCATGCGGTGCTATGTTATGTGATGAGACTTTCTAGAGTGAATATCCAAAAAGCTCGTGGTTCTATGTCACGAGATGAGGTTGTAATATTTTTTTTCTCGTGTCAACATGACAAAGTTATGCCAAAAGAAATTAAACCCTTACACTTTGACAAATATTTTTGCAAGAACATGTTTTCCAATTTAGCCATTAAAAATTATTTGATCTTTAAAGTACTCTTACAAATGTAGTTATCCCAAGGAAGGTTTGGAAAATTTTGGTTGTTTAGGTTGGTGTAAAAATATTGGTTTGACAAAATTCTTTGACATTTCTAACATTATGGGTGAGAATCTAAAGGTTCATTTCTTCTTAACAAAAAGATTGATGACTATCTTATTTCCTCTTTCCTGCATAATATGTAGCTTAAACCTTCCTTTTGCAATTATTAATTTGCCTTTATACTTGTAATTATTCAACTTGTTGCTTGAGAGCAAGCAACGTTTAAGTGTGAGGAATTTGATAAGCCCGTTTCGTTCTTATCATTTACATCATATTCTAAACGTTATTGCATGTAAATAATATTTAATC